ACACACACACATATATATATATATATATATATATATATATATATATATATATATATAGAGAGAGAGAGAGAGAGAGAGAGAGAGAGAAGGAATATTTAAAAATAGCGAAAGAAAACTAAAGAAAGTGGGGATGGGTGGGCGAGAAAGAATAAGAACACGCTTAAAGAGACAGGGAGGGAAGATAGAAAACTTGAAAGGAAGAGAGAGAGGGGGGAATATTAGAAAAAGATGGAAAGAGAAAAGAGAACAAGAAAAAGGGGAAATCAATGAGCGGGAGAAGATGATTAAATTTAGAAAGAGAAAAGGAGACAAAAGGAAGGGGAAAATAGTGAGTGGGAGAGAGAATAAATAAGAATGCTGTGAAAAAGAAAGGCAGAAAAGATAGTGAATTTAAGAGAGGGAGGGAGGGAGAGAATTAAAAAAATTTGAAAGCAAGAGAATTTGGTAGGAGAATAAAGCCAGAGCGAAATCGAAAAAGAAAGAATTTTACAAAAGAAGAAAGAGAGAATGAAAGAAAGAAAAGGAGAGAAAGAGAGAGATATGGAGAAAATAGAATTTGAAAGAGGAAAATAACGTGAAACGAAGAGAAAAAAGTGAGACAGGACAGAAAAAAAACGACACCACTGGGTAGAGAGAGAGAAAGAGAGATAGATGGAAAGAGAGAGAGAGGGAGAGAGATGGAAAGAGAGAGAGAGGGAGAGAGAGGAAAGAAAGAGAGAGAGGGAGTGAGCGAGGGAAAGAAAGAGAGAGAGGGGAGAGAGAGGGAAAGAGAGAGAGGGAAAGAAAGAGAGAGGGAGAGAGAGAGGGAAAGAAAAAGAGAGGGAGAGAGAAAGGGAAAGAAAGAGAGAGAGGGAGGAGAGAGCAAGGGAAAGAAAGAGAGAGGGAAAGAAAGAGAGAGTGAAAGAAAGAGAGAGGGAGAGGTGGAGAGAGAGGGAGAGAGCAAGGGAAAGAAAGAGAGAGGGAGATGTGGAGAGAGAGAAAGAGAGAGAGGGAGAGAGCAAAGGAAAGAAAGAGAGAGGGAGAGGTGGAGAGAGAGAGAAAGAGGGGGAAAGAAAGAGAGAGGGAGGGAGAGAGAGGGAAAGAAAGAGAGAGGGAGGGAGAGAGAGGGAAAGAAAGAGAGAGAGGGAGAGCGAGAAAGAGAGAGAGAGAGAGGGGGAAGAAAGAGAGAGAGGGGGAAGAAAGAGAGAGAGTAAAAGTGATTTTTTAGAGAGGGAGAGAAAGTGAAAAAAAATAATCACATTGTGAAAGAGAAAGGGAGAGGAGATAGTGAACTAGAGACAGAGAGAGAGACAGAGAGAGAGAGAGACAGAGAGAGAGAGACAGAGAGAGAGAGAGACAGAGAGAGAGAGAGAAAGAGAAAGAGAGAATGAAAGAATCTGGGAGAAATAGAATTTAGTAGGATAATAAAGCAAGAGCAAAATCGAGAAAGAAAGAGAAATAGAATTTTACAAAAAAAGAAATAAAACGAGAGAGAGAGAGAGAGAGAGAGAGAGAGGGTGAGAAAAACCATGATAAGAATAAGTGGGAGAGTGAAAAAAATAATAATCTTGTGAAAGAGAAAGGGAGAGGCGATAGCGAGTCAGAGAGAAATACAGAGAGACAGAGAGAGTGTGAGAGAGAAAGAGAAAGATTTAGAGAGAGAATGAAAGAGAAAGAGAATTTTACAAAAAAAGAAGAAATAAAACGAGAGAGAGAGAGACAGACAGAGAGAGAGAAAGAGACAGAGAGACAGAGAAAGCGAGGGAGACAGAGAGAGACAGAGAGAGACAGAGAAAGGGAAAGAGAGAGAGAGAGAAAGAATGAAAGAATCTGGGAGAAATAGAATTTGGTCGGAGGATAAAGCAAGAGCAAATTCGAAAAAGAAAGCGAAAGAGAATTTTACAAAAGAAGAAGAAATAAAACGAGAGAGAGAGAGAGATAGAAAGAGAAAGAGAGAGAGAGAGAGAAAGAGAAAAAGAGAGAGAGAGAGGAATGGGAAGTGAGAAATATATTTATGGAGAGAACTAGTAAAAGGAAAAAAAAAAGAAAAAGATATAATCTGACTCCTTCGGAATGTCGACTTTAATCTGTGTGTTATCTTAGGAAGCATACAACAGAGGTAACCTACAAAAAGATATCCGCTCTTGCTTGGGGGCAGGAATGAGAGGCCACAGAATACCAGCAGGAAGTGAGGTGGCTGGTATTTTGCATAGGGTAAATCCTTCGGAGCGGTTTCTTCAGAGTGCGAGCTGAGAAGAGAAACAAGACATTCTGCGAGGAGAACACAAGATTGGCGATCTCAGATAGGTCATATATGACCCATATTGATATCTGTGAACCAGAAACGGCGTCTCAATTTGTCTACATACTTTATCGAGTCAATTTGTTAAGAGTACCCAAAAATACACACACACACACACAAACAAACGCAGACATATGTTTTATTACTTTAAACGTTATTTTTAGGGGATAACCGTGTTTGAGTAGAGGCTCCGTTTTTGAAACTATTTATTGCGTCTAGCGGTCTGCGCACTTGAGACTTAATAAAGCAAATGTATCCTTCATTCTCTGTAGTAGGTCGTCTTTATTAAAATTTCCCAGGTGTGTAGGCAGGTAAGAACACGGAGAGCCACAATAAAAATAATATTGGGAATAATATAAACATATCGGATTAAAACACACACACAGATACAGACAAACACATACACACATATACAGACAAACACATACACACAGATACAGACAAAGACATACACACACATATAAACGCGAACACACAGATACAGACAAACACACACACACACACAGATAGACAAACACACACACATATACAGACAAACATATACACACAAATACAGACAAACGCCTACATACATATACAGACAAACACATACACACATATACAGACAAACATATACACACAAATACAGACAAACGCCTACATACATATACAGACAAACACATACACACAGATACAGACAAACGCGTACACACAGATACAGACAAACACGTACACACACATACAGACAAACACATACACACATATAATAATTTATGAATGTATTTTTTAAAAATCAAACATTATTTCTTATTACTATAAACGTTATTTCAAGTTGGCACGCGTGTTTCTGAAGCAGTGAAACTAAGGAGTTCTCGCTCGATCTACGCCGATTGATATTAATTTCAATATATATATATATATATATATATATATATATATATATATATATATATATATATATGAACGGAAGACTGTCCACCAATGCTTCTTATAATATGTAGATTAAATAGGCAGGTTAATGAAATTAGCCGGTCTATTAAATACACACACACACACACATATAATTCAACTAATATATATATATATATATATATATATATATATATATATATATATATATATATATATATATATGATAAAATATAGTTTTAAGGTATTGTGCATTTAGAGGTTAATGTGCTCTATATCAGGCTTAGAGCGTATGGGAATATCTATCTATCTATCTATCTATATATATATATGTAGGAACAGACGAAAGCTTGTAGTAAAAATAAAAACTAATGCAGCAGAAATTTATAGAAACAAGGATCTTTTCATTCATAACAGGTTCGGAGGTTTTTGTATATTATTTGAATTGTTTGCGACGATGGATATCTCGCCAATTAAATCATTAACCTTTGCATTTGTTTTTGTGTGAATAATTCATGAATTTGTAAATTGATTGCACGTTTATCGAAATATATATATATATATATATATATATATATATATTTATCATTCACCTATATATATATATATATATATATATATATATATATATATATATAATTCACTTAATACATATATATATATATATATCATTCACTTAATACATTAATAAATACATACATATATATATATATATATATGCAGCATATTTTCATTCAAACATTTCTCATTGAATAATATAGGTATATTGTGTTTACATATTTGTATACTGATTCTTTCTTGTTGTCTAATCACTTTCTTCATGTTAAGATGAAATTCATCAAGGTAGGCGCCATTGATTGTTTTTTTTTTTTTTTGATCAAAGTACTTTTCCATTTTGGCAAAAAAAAAAAAAAATTCCTAACTACAACGGATGAATTTAAACTTTGCAATAAGTTTGTCTTTGTAATTTATTCCTGAAAATGATCTTGGAAAAGATCGAAAGTACTTGGGTGAAAAAAACAAAAAAAAACAAAACAACAAAAAAAACAAAAAAAACTATAGCACCTTCCTTGATGAATTTCATCTTAACATCCAAAAACTGATTAGAGTACTGAAAAGGATCAGTATAAAAATAAGTAGGCATAATATGTCTATATTATACAATTAATCACACACAAACACACAGAGGCATATATGTCTGTGTGTGTTTGTGTGTATGTGAGTAAGAATTAAAAAAAATCTTTTACCACAGCAGTTAGCTTAAACATAGACTGTTTTGAAGTCCCGATTACGCTTCTTAATAAAGCAAACTCTTCCCGGATTTCCCGGAATGCAGTTACTCATGTATATCGCCTTCATGACATTGTAGAACGGAGTGCAATAACACACCAAATATAGAAAGGTTGTTTTTAGGTGCCATTTGTCAAGGAAGTCGTTTGCTGTTTGTCTTTACCATCTATCTTTCTGTGAAGTAATTCTTCACGATATTCCTGAAACTCTTCAGTTTTGTTTATGCATCATGTGGTCCAGTGGTTTATTTTGTTTAAATTTCACTGTGACTTTTACTTATCCACCATATACATACATATATATATATATATATATATATATATATATATATATATATATATATATATATATATATATATATTAAAGGTCAAACACTAATATTCCATGGTTATAATTTATTACATTGGAATCGTAATCACGATCCAATTCGTCAGACATACAAATTCAAAAATTTCTTTATCGTGATTACGATTCCAATGTAATAAATTATAACCATGGAATATTAGTGTTTGACCCTTTATATTATATTCTTACTCTGTCCTGGACATTGAGTTCTACATGCATTCTATCTTCTTGGGAATTTATACACACACACACACACACACACATACACACATACACACACACACACACACACACACACACACATCTATCTATCTATCTATATTTTTTATATATATATATATATATATATATATATATATATATATATATACAAGTTTCATTAATAACGACTGACTATGTACTCTGGTTAAAACTTTTGATTTTATTATCAGGAATTTGCCTATAGTTCATGATTTATATATATATATATATATATATATATATATATATATATATAATTATTATTTATAAAAAATTATAACATAAGTATGTTATAAAATTTATTTTATCTTCAACATCATCACTTGATAAGACACCGAGTGTGTTGAAACAAAATGGCTATTTTTGTAGTGATTTTATAACATACTTATGTTAGAATTTTTTTATAAATAGTAATTATATCTGCTCTACTTTGTATTGAGCCCTCTTTTAAGAATAGTAATTGTTGGTTATTGGAATTCATTCCGTATATACCAATTATATACTTGGTATATATATATATATATATATATATATATATATGCAGAAAAAACAAACAAAAATCTTAATATGCAATTATGCTGTATTAATGTTAATATAAAGTCAACGTCGGACGTTTCGGTCTATTTTAGAGCATCATCAGGACATTTTCATTAAACATAATTGACATTAGAACATATAAAATTCAACATGAAAAGACGATGGACATAAGAGAACAACTAATCCAAACAGATAACTGAAATTTTTATATAAGATCAGCGTTCCGTTTAAATATGATCACGTCGTCGTCACGTGGGCGATGTTGTGAAAACGTATTCGAAGATGATTTCAAAATATTAAAATAATCAAGTTCGATTGAACTATTTTCTCATATAAACAGTTCAAGAAATCCCTTCCGTTGATATATATGATTTCCATCGTGCCTGTCTAATATTTCGAAATCATTTTTGATTTGCTTTGTAACGTGGAGGACTTCAAGCTTGTATGCGTATTCCTATACATAACATCGCCATCACTAGTAATCACTACAAGCACCATGCTATCCGAATCATCTTCTCTGTCCTGAGATAGACACCACAATACTCTGAAATGTCCGTCTTAGATGTACTGGCGCCAATGCCAAGCAGGGCAACATCAGTCAGTTATATTTCATGCTAAGGCGATCATGTATCTTTCCATAAATGAATGACGAGGCAGATTTTTTTCCCGCAGTAGGTTGTCTTTTCTTTCTACGCTAGACGCTATAGAACCCTGTCTATCTTGCTATTTAGCCGTAGCTGGGGGGGGGGATGAGAAGAAGAGGATTCATACCTTTCCCAAGGGTATTAGCAAGTAAATTAATGTAATGGATTCGACTGGAATTCGAACTCGGCTCTCCGATTCCTCAATCCAAGGCGCTATCCATTACTCCACCGTGCTTCCATTACTCCACCAAACACCTATTCCCGATAACCGCCCCTAATAGTTCCGCTGCACGACACTAATCTGTTGTTGCCGGAAGTGCCGCCTGTTCAGTAAAGACAGATTGAACTTCCAGTCGCCACTGCCTAACTGATCCTATATATATATATATATATATATATATATATATATATATATATATATATATATATATATATATATATATATATATGCAACCCAGTGAAGTCTATTGAATAGAATAATCAAACGAATGTTTTTAATGAACGATAATACCTAGAACAAAAAAACACACATATAAGATTCGAAAGCGGCGCGTAAAATAAGTAGTCAACTGCTAGAAGTGAGTCAAGTGAATTCCACAATTAATCTTCAACTGCGAGATATCTACCCATCGCCCAACGCGGTCAGATTATATATATATATATATATATATATAGTTTATGAAAAACTAGGTAATCCATATGGGTAAACCCAAGGAGGATAAAATCCAGAGAGCTCAATGTAAATCCAGAGCAAAGAATTTAATATACATATATATATGTGTGTGTGTGTGCAATGATTCGTTAGAGAAGGCGGGGTGCATATATGTGGGTCGGCGGCAAAGTTTAATCTTCATCCGTTTCATCCCCTGAACATTGGTTGCTAGAAGAGGTCGGGCGCAACTATTAAGCGATGAACAACACACAATCGGCAGCGCATTTTGGACGACGCAGCTGCCGGCGAACAG